GCCATGTGGTCTCCTCCGGGGCAGGAGGAAGGCGGGAATCGAACTCATGCGGAAGCGGCCTCAGATTCTCAGTGCTGTGCTTTAACCCGCTGCGCCACCAGGGAGGGCCCCTAGGTTTAAAATTTTTAATGCCTTTTTCTACCCCTTCCCCTTACTGCCTGTGAAGAAAGGAGATTCAGAGTCAACTCAATATTTATTGAATTAGAAATACTGTAGTGTACATTTATTATCTGTTTTTGTTTTTAGATCCTGATAAGTAGTTTTTATTTTGTGGAAAAGGCAATGAAGGCTTTTATAGCTCATGAACAGTGGAGCTAAGAGTCAAATCAGTGCTTTCTGATTCCAAATACATGGCTCTTTCCACAATAATGTGGTGCATTTTAATTGGCTCAAGATTAAGTAATGAAGTGTTTAGAGCTTGAAAGTACAATTCTTTGGAGATAGTCCCTTTACCATTTTATGCCACCATTGGTGTGGATACTGGAGTTGCGCTTTGTGGACTCAAATCCTAACCAAGTTTTTTATTTACTGTGACCTTGGGAAGTTTCACTTATTCTGTTCATACCTCAGTTTATTTATTCATATAAATGGGCTAATGATAGTAACCTAGGTCATTGGGTGGTGACTGAGATTTGAATGAGTTTGTTTATGTTTAAAGTACCTAGAAAACAGACTGGCACATAGTAAATAAATGCTCATAGATATTAATGAAAATTGCTGTGAAGAAACTGAGCATTATAGTTGTTGAATTATGTGCAAATATCATATTAGAGTAGCTGTATTTAAACTAGAATTCAGAGCTTAGTAGCCTAATAGTATACTTTATACTTGGCAATGTATTTTCAAATAATTTGTTTTTGAGTCCTCATTATGGTCCTCTAAAGGTCTGTAAGTCAGGAAGAAAAATCCATGCTAGGGTTAGTTCCTAGAATACAGATTTCCAGTACTTAGTACATTGGGTCCATTTACACAATAGAATCTGTTTCAGGTTCTTAAAACAAGCAGGCTTCTCATTTAGCAAGACAGACCTCCTTTCACCAACCTGGTCTTTAACTTTGTCCTATAGACCTTTCTGAAGTCACTTAATGCCAGAGGAGAAACTCAGTCTTAACAGCTGTTTAATCTTCCCTTTGTCTCAGAAATCAAGTTGCCCAAGTGTGTTGCTTTCTTCATCTTTTTGGGAATGATAGTAATACTGCACTGTTCGCTCTAAAGGGATTCTGTATTCGCTCTAAAGGGATTCTGTGAAGATCAGCTGTGTTGATGTTTATGAAAAAGCATTGTAAGTTCTAGTTATAAAACTCCTGAAATCTGCTTATTTTTCTTCTCATAGGGAGTTCATGCCCTCCTGCTTGAATCAGCTATTACAAGAATTCTTTTATCCTTGAATCAGAAATAGGCCAGGATTATATCTTATGTTCTTGAAGAGATGTGGTCTCATTTTGAAAATTATCCTTTCATGTGCCTTGTTCTGGTGGTGTTTCTATGTTCTGGTGGTGTTTCTAAACTTAAATACGCTCTTTGCCGTCTAAGTATGGAGTCTGATACAGTTGTTTTCTCTTTCTCTAGAGGAATGGGATTAACATCTTCCAGTGGTCTCCAGTATGCAGCCAATTAGTATCCTTGTCTCCTACCCAAAGGCCCTGGAGCAGGGCTCTGACAGGCACATCCCAGGTAGGTTTGTTGTTCCTTTGCTTGTTATACAAGTCTTAGTGTTTGTGTGAAAGTGTCATGTATAGATTACAGACCAAATTGTGTGATGGAAAAACTTCAAGAGACCACTTCTAGTCCTCTGTAGGCCAGCTCAGAACTGATTCCTACAGTGTGGTATAGAGCATTACTTCTAAATAAACCCAGCAGTGAAACTAGTCTAAGACACCATGCTACAGTCTGCTGATTTTTACTATTGGGAGTGTTTCCAATTATTCATCTTAGAGTTTACTTTTTATTTTTATTTTAAAAAAAGATTTATTTATACATACAGAACTGGAGTATAGGCCAGAGGTACAGGGATGGTGAGGGGATTCACCAGAGACAGTAGGGAGCAGAACAGACTGACTGATGAAGTACACTGCTGAGGGGAGCAGTGGGCGGGTCTGGAGAGGTCTGCTGTGCCATGTGGATCACCTCTGGGGAGGAGATTGAACTCATGCGGAAGTGGCTTTAGCTCCTTAGTGCTGTGCTTTAGTCCGCTGCGCCACCAGGGAGGACCACTTTTTCTTTTAGTTATTTTTATTTTTTAAAAGATTTATTTATTCGTACAGAACTGGGGTACAGGCCAGAAATGTGGAGGGTGAGAGGATTCACTAGGGACAGAGTGGGGAGCAGAACAGGTAGATCGACGAAGTACACTGCTGAGGGGAGCAGCGGGCGGCGGGTCAGGAGAGGTCTGCCATGCCATGTGGTCACCTCCAGGGCTGGTGGGAATCGAACTCGTGTGGAAGTGGCTTTAGCTTCTTAGTGCTATGCTTTAACCCGCTGCACCACCAGAGAGGGCCCCACTTTATTTTTATTTATTTATTTTTAATTATTACAAAAGTTTATTTTTACATCATTTTGCACATTTTTTTTTTCTTTTTCCTCACTTTATTTTTTTAATGGCATCTGTGTGCCACTTTTTTGGGGGGTGAGATGTTCTCATCCTTTTTTTTTTTTTTTTTTTTTTTTAAGATTTATTAATTTGTTCATACAGATCTGGGGTACAGGCCAGAGGCTCAGGGGCGGTGAGAGGCCTCACCAGAGACAGAGTGGGGAGCAGAACAGGCAGATCGACAAAGTACACTACTGAGGGGAGCAGCGGGCGGCGGGTCAGGAGAGGTCTGCCATGCCATGTGGTCACCTCCGGGGCAGGCGGGAATCGAACTCATGCGGAAGCGGCTTTAGATTCTCAGTGCTATGCTTTAACCCGCTGCGCCACCAGGGAGGGCCTCTCATCCTTTTTATGAATTAAAATTAAACAATTATTTGAAGCCTAATTTATCATTGAATACAAGATTCATTGTAATGTAGTTTGCTTTGAAAGTTTTTCTTCTGATTTTTTGTTAATGGATAAGTTAGTACTAAAGGAAAGTTACCCATAGCCTCAAATCTGAAAACATCTGCTGGTTCTTTCCTGGTCTTTATATAAGTGTATTAATTTTTTTCCTTTGATACCTTAACAAATATTCTGAAATGTCTCATGCCATTTCACTTACTAGAGCAGACATTATTCATGTTGTTTGTTAAAGATAAATTCCTAGGAAGGTTTTGGGGAGGAAAGTTTTCTCTTTTAGAAAAATTCATTGACTCATATAAATTAAATTCACATAAGACAGGTTAATGGGAGAAAAACAAATTTAATTATGTGTGTAAGGGAGCCCCACAGACATACATGACTCAAAAGCATCCAGGCTTTCAATAAGTAGATAATTCACAGGAAGGTGAAAAGAGCAAATGTTTGGCAAACAGATGCCTGTCCTGACATGCAGGTTATGTTGTCTCTGGTAGTAGCTCTTTCCCTAAAAATTTTGGCAATTAAGGAAGGGGTAAAAATCTTCTCCTGAGTTTCCTTGGGTCTTAATTGTCTTGAGCTCAAAACAGCCTATATATCAAAGTGGCGGATTTGGGGTGACATAACTTGGGTCAAGGGGTATGAGCAATTTCCTTCTCCAAAAAATTGTTTCAATTTATACTGCCACTAGGAATGTATATGTAACTAGTTTTTCATCATTACCTCAATGCACCACCAGGGAGGGCCCTCTCAGGACATTACTTATTAGTCCCTATTATTTCCTGGGCTTTTCACTAAGTTTGACATAGAGTAGAAACTATATGTTTGTAAGATAAATGACGACTATGTATGTCCTTGCAGAAGAGGCATCTGCTTTGGGTAGTGATACAACTATTTCTTTTTAGGGTTGTGATATGTTCTGTTACTTTTTGTGTATTAGAAAATTTAAATAGATTTTGTCATATAAATCATTGGTTATTTATTTTTAAAGATTTATTTATTTATTCATATAGAACTGGGGTACAGGCCAGAGATGCGGAGGG